ACGCGTAAGTAGTTCATACCATAACTACACTGGGAGACCAAGTTTCCAGTCCCAAGCTTTTCACGATGGATAGCGAAGCAAACGCACTTGCTGTCTCTTGCAAATGTAATAGCATAACCCCAGTGATGCGCGCAGTACTCGCGCATGTGGTCCTCATGAGCAATTAGATACACTTATCCCCGGCACATGTACAATGTGCGCCAGTTCGCATTTGGCAAAATGTCGAATGACCGACATCCGTGTCCACGTCACAAGGTTCGTGTATGTCTGACTGGTCTCGGATCTATGATGCTAACGAACACACACACTTAATGGTGTGGAGCTTCGTTGGGATGGATCAGTAGAACAGAATACAATGCACTTGCAAATGTCGACAGTCGTTGGCAAATGTCTCGGCATCTTGTGCACACTGCACAAAGTTGGGCACACCAGCCAATCCAGTACCAGTATAGATGTAGGGCGTGGAATAGGAAAAGCCCACATGTGTGTGTGTTTCTCGCACATCCCGTCCCATATTCAAGGACACGTGAGAGGCCGATACATCCAATCTTCCATCTGCAATGGCAGCAAAGTGTTCCTTGAAGGTGAAGTAGGTGAAATCCACCTTGGAAGAATCATTGAAAACAGCAGCTGCAATGGCACGGCATAGATCAATGGTGAATCCAGCACCTTTCTCGACTTCCAGGGACTCTGGCTTGCAACGCAGAAATCCCCGTTCTCTCACCGACTGTAACGTGGTGTAGCAGCAAAGATTGCCCATTCATTATTCAATTTTTGGTTTGTTGGTGATTGAGGTATCATTGCTGACAAGAAGCACGTCCTCAGAGGAAGACTTGGCGACCGCTGTCGGTACGACGACAGCCACAAGGATGACAACGAGCACCAAGATGGTCGAGGCGAGGAAATACTTCCTTCGGGTAGCATCTGATAATGCTTTGTTTGGATAGTCTGAAGACGCATTGCGGTTGTTGTGGTTATTGCCGTAGTTGCTGTTGTATGCACTGTTTCGGTCGCCGAGGTCAAACGCCGCGCTACGATCGATCTCGACAGTTTGAGCCTCGGCGCATTGAGAGACGCGAACGTATTCCTGCGACAGTCGCTCTTCGAATTCCTTGCGCAACCGATCTTCCAGTTCGGTCGCCATTTCTTGTTCAATTTCTTCTCGGGTGACCACCAGCTCGGCCGAGGCTGCAAGTTCTGTGGCCACCGGAAGATATGTTTCGGCTTCCTCGTGATGCGGCTCCAAAGGAGGAGGACCGGATTCCTCTTCTACTTGTTCTTCTTCGACTAGCAATGGAGCCGGCGGCGGTCGTTCTACCCCGGCTGCAACAGTGACTGGAAATGCGCCTGGTTGGGAGGGCCGGTCACAACGAGTTTGTTGTTCCTGCTGTTCTGCTGGTAGAGGCTGAATATTCTCGATAACCTTATCAAAGATCTTAGATTCCGCCTCGTCAACTTGAGCGGGAATGGTTGCCACGGAAGAAGCAGTGGTATTCGTGGTAGCAGCAGCTACAGAAGAACTCATATCATCATCAGGTGGGATCTTGGCTATGGTAGGGGGTATCTTCTTTTCGCAGCTGTCCACCACCTCCTCATCTTCGACTTGCTCATCCTCCTTTGGTTCGTCTCCTTTGGCTTCAGAAAGTTCTCCTCCCTCCTGCATCCTTGTAAGAGAATCTAAAACAATTATCCAAATCAATGGGTGCTAAACGAAGGAATGTTAGGAGCAAAAGGCTTGTGGCGGAACTGGTCCATCATCTGTCATCGATCAAGGGATCAAGGGTGATGCCCAACCATCGAACCGAATTTGGCAGTCACTGGAATAAATAATGCTGGGGTGAATTGCGAAGAGAACGTGTTGAAGTACCAGCCGAAATAAAATAATAATGCAACGATGCGTTGATTATGTTCCAGTTTCCTTTTATGATGAAATGACAACTGACCTCTTGAAAAGGGTTTATGACCATTGTGCTGGCAAACAGCGGTACCTGGTAAATACTGAACCAGGTACCTGGTTCTACGGTACGGACACGTCACCTACCGGTACCACCAGTCACAGCCACTTAATAAGTCAGCCCGAGCTGCGATACCTCGGCAGAAAGACAAATAGAAGAAAGAGGACCATGTTTGAGATTGCACCCTTCTTTCAAGGTAGCCCTGGTCACAACACCCGACTTCGTTGTTTGTTGCCGCCCGGTATCATTCCCTCATTATAACCTTCTTTTTTATTGAAGCTAGCCCTGGCGACAACACCCCACTTCGTCGTGTGTTGCCGCCCGCTAACCATAATTTTACAGCTTTCACGCCCGTATGTACCTGTAACTTTTGTAGCTTCTGCTGGCTTATTGTATTGAGTGCACTAACCTTGAATCATCATGATATATTCCTACCCCTAAATTTGTAGAACCTTCAATTTCCAGTTTTGTTGGCTTACGACTATCTCTATCCCTATATTTTGGCTTCACCCGAACAGGAAATAGGAAATAGGAAATAGGAAATAGGAAATAGGAAATAGGATATAGGATATAGGATATAGGATATAGGATATAGGATATAGGATACAGAATATAGGAAATAGGAAATACCAAAAAAGGGTTAGAGGGCTTAGGCAGATACTACGGATTCGGATTGAACTGTCCTTTCCCTTGCTCCGAAGCTGATTTCCCACCCCACAAAGCAGATTTCCGACCCTCTGAAGGGAATTTTCCTTGAGCTTTATTTAATGGACAGTGTTGTCAGATAGGACTCCGACCGTTTCTTGAGACAAACTAAAGGTTCGACTGGCGTGCCGATTAATCATCCTCACATAGAAACGTACACAACCTAAATACGGGGAAGGAAAATCTATTTCCCAGGTTGGGAAATCCTCTTCTGAGCATGGGAAAGGATAGTTCAACCCAAATCCGTAGTAGACTGCCGAGGTAAAAAAATTCAAACAGCACCGGTAGGATGCTCAGTTTTAAGCTGCAGCAGGTCAATCCGAATGATTGTATTTGGTCCAACAGTTGGTGTCCAGGTGTTGGTTTGGGATTTGGGAGTGGGACTTCGTTTTGGACTTTGTGCTCGACGTTGTGGTTCAGGCGTGAGACGTCACTATGGGTGTTATTGTCCTGCCGCGGAGGAGGGGGGCCTCTTAGTCCTTCTTGAGAAGTAGGACCTAGCTAGAGTAGGTCCAGCACTGTGGAGATGGTACCATACAAGGGGGGTCCACGAGGTGTTGAGGCTACGGCTGCAGTACTCTAGCTGTTTGTTGCAGGCATCGCAGACCGCCTCTGTGGTGGGAGTACATGTATTTGTAACTTTTTGAGCTCTTCTTAGTTGCTGGTTTTCGCTTTTTCATCCCCTATGGGAATCATCGGTGCTTGGGCTCTTGCTGTTGTTACTTATGAAATAAACGTGAGATGATTGATTATTGATGAGTTTTGTTCTCAGTTGAATCACAGTTGTCAGGGCCAATTTGCTCTCAATTAAATTATGAGATTTTTGTGACTTTGCTCCAAGAAAATTTCCTGTGTGTCTACTTGGATGGTTGTTCAGGCTGATCAAGAGCAGATGAACCAACCGCATGGAGACTGCAATACACGGCTCTTAGCCTTATTCGCGACTCGATCCTAGATAGGGTTTGAGTTCGACTCATGACGTAGTCCTTCGCGAATAGTCATTGAGACAGGGTTCTCATGCTGACTGCTAGTCATACTAGGTTGTCGATGAAACATCGCTCTAGATATTTAGCCGGCGTGGAAAGCTTCCACGCTACTAGGGAGCTACTAGCTGAAGTTTCCACGTATTCCGGAAATTTACCGTAGAGTACGTAGAGTTATTACCATAACCTACGATATCACACTTCGAGGCCTCCCGTGGGAGACCAACTTCAATGAGCTTCACAACGATCTCTCTCATGGATTAGTTTTTGTAGCTTTCTAATCTCTCTCATAACTTTCATTCTCTCAAACTCAAAACACTCGAAAGATCTTTACACTAGCTTTTAGCGTAGTGCATTTTGTTAACAAACACAATAGCTTTCAGCTACCCTCAACCTATTCCTTCACCATGAAGATTGCTCAAGGAAAGCATGCGTTCAGCAACTTCGAGAAACAGTTGCGTGACAAACCCATTCTTCCTCTCGTCGACAATAACGAAGACAACGAGGTCGACGACACTCGTGCAACCACCTACAAACTTCGCACCATTCCTGCAGACGCAAATAGTGCCAAGTACACTTTCAAGGTAGCCATCATCAATGGCTTACTGATGCATCCTGGCGAGACTCGCACAGAACTTACCATCATTCAACACTACACCTGGAAAGGGTTGCGCAAGACTGTGCAGTCCGTATGTCAGCATTGCCAAAGCAGCCAACTGAACAAACCCAAGACGCGGAAGCTGGGATTGCTTCCTTCAAAGACTTGCGAGGAGATCCCTTGGGAAAGACTATGCATTGACCTGATAGGTCCATACAACGTCGGGGATCCTAAGAAAAAGAATTCCTGTACACTTCATTGCCCGATAATGATTGATCCCGTAACCGGATGGGTCGAGATTGCTGAGATCTGCTCCAAAGCAGCAGACGAAATAGCCATCCTTCTAGAACAGACGTGGCTTACTCGGTATCCATGGCCTGCTGAGGTTATCATGGATAGAGGACGTGAGTTCCACGCAGAAGTTGAGAAGACTCTCCGGGATGAATATGGACTTCGTCGCAAGTTCATTACTACACGCAACCCTCAAGCCAACTCGATGGTCGAGCGTGCTCATCAGACCATTTGTAACTTGATAGCAGTTCAGAATATCAAGTGTCAAGACGACCTCGTGAATGGTTCGGTTCGCAATGAATGCCACGATTCATACCACATTGCGTGCAACGCCTGCACAGCTCGTGTTCAATCCTGACGCGATTCACAACATCCGTTTCAAAGCAAACTGGAAACAATACATCAAGGAACGTCGCCAACTACTTATCCAGAAAAACAATGATAGGGAGAACGCGACACGTGTCCCTCATCAATACAATGCCAATGATACTGTGATGATTCAACAGTATCAGCACAACAAGTACGGTCAGCCAGGGTTTAAATTACTCATTTAGCTTAACAAGCTATTGGTCACGGAGTGACTTTATTGACGCGGGCAAGTGGTGGGGAAACCCCCACCTAGCTGAGTCGTCGTCTACTTGTTTGCCCAATCAACATGACCTCATCCACTGGCCCAACGTGGAGCCAGCACCAAGTAGACAGATGCCCTGTGCACCTGGGTAGGGTGTGAGCACATTGATAGGGAACCTGCAGCGCAAAACCTGGGTTACAGGGGCTTACACAGGATTTTTGTCGGTATTGAAACCATTATCACCAAAGGGGCCGTGAGGACCAGTTAGATTGCCAGACCAAAGAGTGCTCGCCAGTAAGTGTGTCTGGGTGATCAGGTCCCAAGCTGTGGCAAGTGCCTTGGCATGCAAGGCAAGATGCCAGTAGAGCCCGTAGGAGGTGGTACTCCTCAGGCTGGACCAGAGCAGGGTGTAACCCATCCAATGCACAAAAATTGTTAGATAGAGGCCAACAAGCAGGCAGAAGATGGGGTCAATATGACATCACTGCCGCAGTCTGTGGTTCCCAGGAGGGAGGCACAGAGGGCTGGAGTGTTGTGGGCTTGTTCGAGGTTGGTGGTGTGAGTCAATAGAAGGAGGATAAGGGGCACTGGGAGTGGGCTGGTGCCAGGGGCAGGAGGGAGATCCTGTTGTTGTTGGAGTGTTGTTGTAGGAGTTGGAATGTAGCATGGTTGATGTGTGTTGTAGGATAGAGGCGTGCCTGTGTCAAGGGTAGAACAAAGGCATCCTCCCTATAGGGTAGGGTGTGATTCGGAAGGGTGTGATCCTCAAGATGCTGCATGCTCTAGGAGCTGTTGGCTATCATCTGGGGATTGGCGTTGGGTATCTGCGGAGGATGGTGGATGATCGTGGGTTTGGTAAGTGTAGAAGGGATGTGAGGAGTGAGCGGGACTGTCTGGAATGTGAACGAGGACTCTATTCGCGGGGGTAGAAGTGAAGATTGTGGATAACCAAGGGACGGGTATACAGAGTCGCAGGTGGCTAGGAGCCATGGGATGGTGCGGCATAGTTAGTGTCGATCTCTGGGAGTGTATGGACTGTCTGCTGTCGTTCGCTCATTATAGCCACGTCTCGCACACCGAAGCAACTAGAGGATTCTTCGTGAAGGTGGCGAGATGATATCCGATGTATGAGGGGTTTATCAGGCGGCATGAAGCACTGAGGCCTGGTGTCAAGGTTAATCAACGTTGTGGGGTATGTTGTTGCACTGGATACATAGGCTGTGGCCCAAGTCTGGGTTAGCAGACGTATACCACACTGAACACTCGGTGGCCAAGAAGAATGGTATCCAGAGCAACTAAGGCTGTTAGGGATTCTTTCAGGGAAAACGGAGAAGTCACGTCATATCGCCAGTAGAGCCACGTGGTGGGGGCGAGAGTCGAAGAGGGTGTTGTGTGGTTGATGGGGCTGTGTTACATTGAGAGATTTAACACCTGTGTTGTCTCAAAGGTAGTGTGTACCCAAATTCTGTATGTTCAAGTGACACGGAAGCTGGCTTATCACTTACTGGATAACACTGTGTTGTCTCAAAGGCTGGTACTCAATCTGTTGTAGTGACCGAT